TTTCTGGTCAGAAGGTATCAAATGCATGACTATAACTTTTCTTTCAAACACATATGAAACACTAAAGCCCGATATGTCACTTATCTCCTCCACGGTATATCTTGCATCTTCATCAAATATGGTTTTGACAGTGCTTATGTCTTTTTCGAGGTAGCGAAAATCTGCCGCATGATGCGGATATTAGTTCAACCTTCCTTAACCATTGACATCCACTTGGCAATTGTGCGATATGGAAGTGCATTTTATCCATAAACTAAATCTACATCTGTTTTTCTTTCTGGTGCGCATTTACCAATAACCCCCGAATTTTGCAAGAAGCTCTTTGCTCCTATCTCAAATCACAATACAACTCAGTCATGTTTACAGCCTATAAAAAAACCGGTATTTGACGGACCTTCTAATATTTTATTGCAAATCTTGCAAAAATAAACTGTTAGAGAAATCAATAATCTTTCCAACCTTAATTTAAACATGTACTTTCACTAGCAAATCATGGTCAAATTAAGTTGTTTCCGCTCATCTAGAATGCATACAGAATCTATACAATTTTAATCAATTCGTTTCATGAACTTGAATTCTGCTTACATCGATGCTAGAGATGTATATGTGTTGCCTACTCTTTCCAGTACAGTCCATGAACAGACTCAATCAAACCGGGTGTTCTTAATGGAGTCCGTTTTATTGTTTTCTACTTAATAGATTAAACAATTTGGTACATTAATAAATTAAACTGAAGGAAACATAATCACTGCACTTTAACCTTAAAACATACCGGCTTTCACTCTTTTTAAAGATATCTATTTTTTAAATATCAATACTGACTTTTATTGTTTACATTTTGGGTAAGTTTAGTGTTACAAGAACAAATTTAAAGTTATATGTTTATTTTTCAAATGTTTAAAAATAAATGAACATGTAGGACATGAAACGTGAAACAACCCTTTTAAAAGATTTAATAAGACTCATAATAATGACAGACAAATTCCTACAAAAAACAATCTTTTTTTGGTCAAAAAAGGGGAGTAACACAGGTCAAACTCTTATAAAATGTCAAATGTATTTTGCATTGATAAATTAAAAGCTTATTTCAACTATGAAAATGTTAAGTATTTGACACTGAGAAGTTTATTAGTTCATATTAAACCCGACAGATGACACCACTCAGTATGCCATATCTGATATTATGTGTCATAAGAATTACATATAACTATTAAAACAAATAATTAAAAACCAAAACTGAAATAAAAGTCAGTTCTGCATATTCAAATAATAATGCTTTAAGAACAAGAACACTAACTTTAAAGAACACCAGATGGAAAATCATATTTTAATTTTCAGAAATAAAAACGATGGTGACATGTTTTTCTGCATCTTTTATTTTCTACACAAAAAGTTACTACACAAAAAAGGGTAAAAAAACACCATTACCAACATTAAACAGCTTATGAAACAACAAATAAATCTATAGCTGAAATCGATAAAACTTAAAAAAAAATATTATTTTCCATTTTGATATAATTTATATAATTGACTCTTCAATTCTCTCAAAATGTGAACATTGCATCAATTCAATTAAAGTTATCCAAAATATCATACTCAGAATTTCTATCCTTTAACCTTTTAGACACCGTTATTTTAAAATCCTATCTATTCTTAATATTAGTTTAATTAGTTTACTTAATATTATAAAAGCAAAAGTAAAACATATGAGGATAATAATATTATCTTTTTTAGTAGTGAAAGTTAAAACAAAATAACAAAATAACATCATGATTATTTTTTTTAACTGAATACATATACTTTACAAGTTTTGTTTCATTACGATAAACAACAGAAACATCTTGTGACGCCTGATGCATCACCTTCGTCGTCATCATCGCCTTCGTCGCCTCCATCAACACAACCATCATCATAACTTCGAAATGTAAATTAATATACCCTTATTTTGCTGTGCATGCTATTAAAGAAATAATTTTTGAACCATTTGAAAATGTAGTAAATTTGAAAATGATATGGTGATGATGATATTCAATAATGATCATATTAATGAAAATGAAACTAAATGCAATAATATCAAAAATGCTGTAAGTACCTATTAAAGAGCCGCATGAACGAACTGTTAAATATTGCGTGCAATCTTAAAAAACCTTATCTTAAACATGTAGTATATATCAACTATATATAAACTCTTGCCATTTATATATTTGATGGAAAAATTTACAGCAACAACATACAACAACATTAAATTAATTTAAAAAAAGATTATCAACGAATGATCAGTTTAAATATTCAAAAGATGGATTTAAAATGTTTCGAAGCATCTGTGAGTATTCACCATTTGATCATAAAAGTATCAGTTTAGGTAATTTAGCAGAAGACTGGGAAATGTCATAACCTGATAACGTCACGTGTCGTCACAGAAGTAGAACATGTAAACATCAATTAAGTTAGAATTTGCATAGTTATTGTATACACGTGGAAAAGGATTAATTTGCTTGTATACAACTGATAAACTACATCTATATAGGCATATTGAAGAACAAGTGTAAAATGTTAATGAAAAAAGCATGACCTATATTCAACATGGGGAAAGAATTGTACTCAGTACTGTTAAACTAGAACTAGAGAAGTCAAGGAAAAAAGCTTGACCTATGAAAAAATAGAATAGAAATTGCCATTAAGAGTTAATATGTAACAATGAAGTGACAGTTTGAATATATAACAAAAAAAGAAGAAAAAAGAAAAAGGTTATAATATTTGTATACAAAAACTGTTGAACTATACTGACAGCAGTGACAAGGAAAAGCAAATTGAATCAATAGAACATTAATACAGTATTGGTGTACAGATCCTATGACAGTATTACCATTTTTACAGAGAAAATATTCATATGATTCCTTACAGTTTAACCGTTTCTAAACTAATTTTAATAAATCCACATAGCTTTTTTGATTGCGTATTAAGTAGCTCTTTAAATTTGAGAGTGTTACATCTTCTTAAATAATAAGGTTAAATGTTTAATTTTCTAGTCTGATTAAAAAAGGGACAGGCTAATAAATAGTGAAACTCATCTCCTATTTCTGGGGTACTATTCTCATTCAAACACAGTTGACATATTCTTTCATTATAGTCTATATTTTGCCACCTTCCACTTTCACATGGGAAGTAATGATTGCCTCATCTAAATTTAATAAAAGACAGCCGTTCAGACTTTTTTAGATTAAGTAAATAGTCCTCAAGGTTAATTGACTCTTTGAAAATTGAATAATTTTGTCCTTTAGTTGAGACTTGCATAGAGGTTTGCCAGTTGTCAAATAATATTTGTTTTGCTGTTTTTTTTCTCCAAATGTTTAACTTGGAGGTTATTTTGATTATTCCAAATATCATTTCGCCTTGTTTCATTAAAAATGTTTTTATTCCTTTTATCCATTTTGATTCAAAATTTGGCATTTCAAGCATATTATTTATATATCTGGTATGATAGTTTATTTTGTTTCCAGTAACTAGTCTGTTCCAGTTATTAATCATTCTAGTCTTTTGGTTAATATTCATGGGGTACCTGCCAAGTTCGGCATAAAACATATATATAGTGGTGTTGAACGTCTTAAGTGAGTTAGTTTTCTCAAGAATTCTGAATGTATTCTCTCTAACATTTGATCATTTTCATAGCCCCATATTTCTACAAAATCAACTATTGATTCACAAGCCAAAACTTGTTCAATATTTGAAGCATATTACATGATAAAATTGTACACAAATAAAAGACAATTCAATATATTACATTTTGTAAATGCTTGCTGTAAGGCCTTATATATATGGACATTATTAAACTGCTTTATTAGAAAATGTGAAATTCGATCAGTTGATACCAAAATAAAATGTCCTTCTTCACAATCCTAAGGGTAGATCTTGAAATGAAATATGTTTTCACTACAAATTCATAATTGGAGAAATTACAACATATTTTTCTATAATTTTTATAATAAAAGTGTGATAAATTTTATACAACACTGAAAGTACTAAATTATTTCTTGATTTATTTTTGTTCGTTGAATGAGTTTTCCCACATCCAGCAGCATTACCATTTTTTCTCCACAAATAATTGCAAACTTCTCCACATGCAATTTTTTCAACAGTGAACATTGAAATAGTGAATCTTATTTATAAAGCTCATTAAGCTCAACTTCACAGCAAAGAAAAAGTGAGTATAATGTCACTTTAAGCACCGGTCTTGTGGGGTGTTCAGATCATTAAAACCCGTTACCAATGCGATATACACTTCAACGTTTTAAAGCCATAGCAAAATTACGGCATCTATCCTAGAGAGTAATTGTTGATTGGAAGGTGATATACATACATTCTCCTTCCGTCACATTCTCTACTCTAACGCGTGGAAGTGCATCAGGGATAAAAAATATCTGGTAAAAATATGTTTTAATCTTCCATAAAAAGTAAGCATATAGATTTCAACACTGCAATGATTAACAAACATCGCACGCATTTTAGAACTATCAAATTTAGAATTTAAATATCCATGTTTATTCAATATTAACAAGCTCGATGATAGATGTACACACATTCTCCCAGGACGTTTTCAGTACATACTCGCCATTTTCTTGCGCAAACAAAATTCGCGTTCTGTGTTCGTATAAATCCCTCATTTGATGATTCATCAACTCTGTATTAATTTCATCCTTTACCATTAATACGATAGGCTTTTCCAACAAGGTTGCTTGATCGAATTCATTTCGGCAATGAACACTTTGGCTGTAATGATCGGTTAAAAGAATCACCACTACAGACGATTTATGAAGAAACCTTGATATTTGCTCTGGAATTGGTTTGCCGATTTCAAAATGTTTGTCTCCTATACAAACAAGGTTATGGTCTTTCCCTACCTTAAGGTTCTCATTTAACTGATTGAAAATATACCTGTTGACAAAATCATCGTCGTTACTGCTGTATGAAAGAAACGCGACAAATTTGTTATCTTCAGCCCCCTATCTAATAAGAGCAATGCGATCCTCCATTTCTAGTTGATATTGTCGTTGTTGTTTGTATCTCCTCATTTTTAATATAAATGCTACCACCAACACTAATGCAAGAACAGATGCACTACATACTACGATTATGATTTTTGCTCTATTACATATCTCTTGTAATTCACCAATGGTGATATCATTAATAAATACTTCCTTAGAGTCCTTGTTTTCACATTTAATGTCTGAATTATATGCGGAGTTCTTGAGCCAGTTAATAAAAGCAAGTGACCTACATTTAGAACACTGGATTGGATTACCTTGTAGTAGAAGTTTAACATTATCAAATGTATTAAACGTGGCAGTATCAATGACTTGTAACCTATTTTTCCTGACATCTAATATCCTGAGTAGCTTCAAGTGTTTTACTTCAAATGACAGTTTAGTCATCAGATTATCTGATATGTCTATTAATTCAAGTTTTAAATTATATGCGAAAATGTATTTTGGCAGTCCTGTTAATTCATTAAAAGACAAACGTATAGACTGTAGATTGGTTAGATTTTTGAAAATATTTTCGAACAAGTTGTAATCTTCTACCATCATGCTGCTTAGTTTGTTTCTAGAAAGATCAATGTCTGATAATAATCGAAAACTTGAAATGGCTTTCGGGTGGAGATAACGTACATTACATCCAGAGAGATCTAATTTCACAAAAGGACAGCCCGGTATATTGAGTTTTAGATCGATTCTCTCGAAACTGTTGTTACCAATTCTTAGGACTTCTAACTTAAATCTATTGGCTCCAAACACATTCATGGTTACGTTGTCAATGGAATACGTTATCCATTTTGGTAAAACACTTGTCAGATTTAAACTACGGATATTTTGCAGGAAACGTATTGACCTTATCCAATTAAAATTCATGGCTACATTTGCATTTTGTTCAACTATTTTTGATTGTCCGTTTATAGGCATCACTTTAGATGGAAATACTACATAACTGGTATCAATGGATTTGAGATTTGGACATGACCGTTCTGTTCGATAATCATCAAAATCATTTACCCTTGCACTTGATATATTGATATATTCCAAGTAAAAACAATGCTGAAAGAAAGATGTCATATTGATATATTGAATTTGAGTTGAACTTATGTCAAGCATTCTTACTCTTTTGTCGGACACTATTTTGAAAAATCGCTCATCAAAAGTCAAACCGGCTCGGAAACTATTAAGAAGAGCTAGGTTTAGACTCTGCAAGTTTGCTACATCATTATTGTCGTCAATTGCATTCAGAACCTCTTCCAAGTATAACCGCCGGCAACCAGTCAAATCTAAATGTTTTAGATTTTCTAGTCCAATAAATGAGTCAGATGCTAATGTTATGTTCTCTGCTATTCCTATACGTAACATTTCCAAAGTTTTTAATCCGAAGAAACAAAACGAATCGAAAATTCCTACTGTGTCATGTTCTACAAGCCAGTCAGTACTTGCAGAGATTTCCAGGTTTTTTATTTGTCCCCAATTATATGTTGAAAATAATCCTTTCCTCAATTTTCTATCCGATATGTTTCTGAGGTTAACTGTCATGGTACCATCTGGAATATCCGCCGGTATATAATTGCAAGTTATTTCAGAATTTCTGCTAATGCAGTGCTCAGACTCTGCTGTAAAAATACCATAAACATCAACAAAGAAAATACTCATGTTGATATGAGATACTATCAAAACATAAACTAAGTATTTCCCAGGCACATCCATTTTTTGATTTATAAATTTAATTTAGTTAATAAACTTTACATATACTTTTACATGTTTCTGGTAAGTAAAGTAAGGTGAATTTGATATGATATGTTTCTATCCTGTCACGATAAAGTATATTACCTGAATGACTGCGAACATGTTATAAGTCAATTATATATACCAAATCTGATTGATCAGGGTCCTTCAAATCAGAAAGATCGATAACTGATCGTAATTAAAATGACATCGCTAGTCAGTCGTGCAAATGACTCGTGGAATAAAATTTTGGTTTTATATTTTATTTTATATACACAATGTTTACGAAATAAGAGCTACATAGTACTTAATTGTTGCCGTTCATATTGTTCATGAATCAAGCCTTGGAAGTATTGGAATATTTTATTATATTCTCTTCATTATTCAATTACGTAAAATTACTGCTAGAGTTTTCCTAATATAATACTGCATGTGGTATTACTATAAGATAATACAAACATTGTGAATGTATGTACAATTTTTTTTGTTTAGATCTAAAGAAATATCTAAAAAATGATAAGAATTTAATAGTCTGTCGAACTATGTAAAGGATTGATATATTGTAAAGCAATCTTCTCTTTGTTTCATTTGAACATCTTATAAAAGATTAATGTGAAATTGTCTAACATTCAAATCACATCCTGTTTTTGTAAAATCTATCAATTACAAAATAAAATATTGGAATTGATCAATAAAATTAAATTCTAAAGATAATTATGTGCTGTTTAAACATCAATATTAAATATTGTAACCTATATAGATCTATTCGGTGCAAATTGTAATAATTACATATTGCCCATTGCCTTGAAAAGAAACGTATTAACTAAAATTTTGATAAGTACACAATTATGGTTCTATAGGTTATGATATTTATACCTATTTGAAGAATAATCTTATATACTTAATAAAATTGTTAATAACATTTCGTTGTGATAAATCATAAAATATATAGCAGGTAACCCCGTTTTAAAAAAACTATGTAACAATTTCTTCTCTGTGATTGGTCAAATTAAAATTTCAACAGTGAAACGGGTATTTTTATATACATTAGTGAAACACTTCCGCATTTTTGTCATTATTTATGCCACGATTTTCTATATAAACAATCTCTGTAGGAGGTTATGGATTATGAGGTTATTATACATTATCGAATTCAATTTTGAATTTTATTTCACAAGTGCAAAGCTATAGACCTATATTTTATCGGACGAGACGCCTGCCGAGTGTGATATAGGATTGTCAGCTGTGTACGAGCCCAATAGGATCAGTTATGTTCTCAAACATTTAAAATGACCTCTATGTTTTCCTTCTTTTTTATATATTGACAAAAAGTTGTAACTTCAAGAACAATGAGTAATTGATGTGAATTTCTTCACCCATGACTCTATAGCTAGATGGAGTACGATATGAATTTGATATACATGTATTTGTTGAAAATATTCACAATATTTACAATTTGTGCGCATGAATAATGTATACTGGTATTTTTCAAAAAAATTTAACAGACATTGAATCAGACACTGATTGTGACGACTATTTCCTTTCAGAAAATGGGTGTAATTATTTTATTAAACAACGTTGTTGCATTTATCTACAGACGCATAATTGAGTTTGGATTTTGCTTTCTAAAGGAGGCTGTCACATGATAGCGTATGATAATAAAGTATCCGAACGTGCAAAATAATACACTTACTTGTAGACGCTGATATACGTTAGGCATATGCAATTTTTCGCCGTATACCTGTAATGCATGGTGATATACGTTTACGCATTGGCTAAAGACAAATAGTTTTAAGATGAAGATAGATAAATCTAATATATGCTTGTTAAAGGATTGCCGCTTGATCTGTTGCCACAATTGTTCAGTTCATGTAGGATTTTCGATGCGATGTGTCTGCACAGGTTTAACCTCGGGTTCTGTTCCCCTCGGGTGTGGCAAATAATATGTTCTGATGGATATCATATACTTTTTCATGATTTGTCTTTATGTATACCATGTCGCAACGTATCATTATCTCAACGTCTTAACTGTAACGTATTATTTGCAATCTTTTATTCTGCCTAAAAAATGAAAGATATTGCTCGAAAAGCTTGTAATAATATCAAAAGATATGATGATGAAAGAATGTTTTATTAGTAATGTCAATTCACATGGAATGCCCACAGACACCGAAATATCACATTAAAACTCATATTATTTATTGCCAGATTGAAGTTTCTCTGAGGAACCTGCATCATTTTTTATTTAATCAAAATTTTAAGATTCATAACATTGAATATCTGAATCCATTTAATGCATATCTCTTTTTTAAATTTTTACATTTGTATTGCTTTTTTGCAATTTTTAAAAATTCTCACAGTCGTCATAACATTACATACAAACATAGCAAGCTTCAAACTTTACACGAATAATTATCAATACTTTTTACTTCGTTCTCAAACGAAGAGCCTTCTTTTAAGGTAAAGTACGTCCGGTTGACGGTAATCCAAAAAAGAATACTTTCTTTAATAAGTGAATTCTTACCATTGGAAATAAAGGTAAAGATTTCGTTGTCACGGTAAAATGTTGTAATCATTGTTGTTCTCTGTTGTTATGAAGAGCGTCCATTATCTTTATTTGCAGGACGATAAACAGTTATTGTTCTTAGGTCTAAGTATAATGTTGAAACAGTACCGCAAAAGAAAGTTTAATGTATTTTGTATTTTATCTGTTTTGCAAAGCAAATCATATAACGGGAAATAACTCTCAGTGTGATAAGCCTAGTATTTAGTTTTGTTATCTCCTTTTAATTAGCCCACGTAACTAACTATGTACTTACTTCTGTCAGATGTGCAACCAAACGGAATTATAATTTTGTAAACATGAAAAAAAATTAACACTTGATGCCCTATACGACGGTTAATGATCAATATTAGAATGATCGTGGAAGTCCTTCACTGCTGTATAATGTCGGTTATTTTTACCTATTATCAGGAAGGTTATTTTCATAATAACAAATTGGACTTTTTATGGTATAACGTCATCTATTTCTGATTCGAATTTCCCCTTCAACATTAGTGTCTTATTTTTGGGGAGATATCCGTAAATAAAATTGACATAATGCTCCTGTAACAAACAATTGTTCTGTGCAAACTTAAATCAAAAGACGGAAGAAACTCCAAGATTTAATGGCAAACAGGATATCAGAGAACATTCCGTTTTTTTTCCCGACCAAACAACATGATCCTTCGCGAATTGCTTTTGAAAATACAGTTACAGACCCACTGCTGATTTTACAAAAGACACGAAAGAACACTCAGTATAGTTCAAAATTATGTTAAAAAACAAAACAAATAGACATCAAAACACCCTCCGCGAATTCTTAAGCAAAAGCATGGGGTTGGATTTGTATCACACCAATGCCAGGCGGAACAAGCATACTGGCACCATGCTTGTTTACCATTCTTTTACATGTTTCTCTATTGATTGTTTATTAGCGGGATGGGTTTTCATATTAACAACTGACCTTACATAGATTGTTGTTTTCCACTAAAAGAAATGCTGTACAAATTAATTTGAAAGCTGCTAATCAAAGGACGTTCAATTCTGTAAACATTCTAAAAAAGGTATTTGTAGATAATGTGGTGAAATTGGAAATGTCAATAACGAGCTTAATTTGCTAATTTAAAAGTGCGGTGTCATGATTGTTTTTTTAAATAAATCATGAAAGATTTATAATAGTATTATAATTTTAGACTGACTATTTATGGTATTCGCGCGTTTATTTCAGTTTTTATTTTCTATGCTTCTCCTTCAAAAGAAGTGTAGATTGGAATTAATCCCATCACTCTATTTTTCTGTGTTTTCAGTGTGTATGGAGTTTGTATACTTTTAAGTACCAGTAAAGTAGATTGAATGCAGTAACAAATGTTTATGGTCAAGGGACTTCGCATGTATAATGTGCAGCAAATACAGATATCTCACGAAACTAAAAAAGTACAAAGATAAACCATCTTTTGCGATTAAAGCATTTTGTTTTTTCAAATTCAAAACCATTGCGATTTAGTGTTAAGAAGATCCTCCGTGAATTTTAAATAAAACATCATGAAGCTCATCCCCCCTTCCTCCGAAATTAAAACCCTCCTTCTGCAAAATTTAATAAAAAATAAAATAAAATACATAGATTGTTTGTTTGTTTCATTTTACGCCTTTTCCCAACAGTATTTCAGTCATATAGGCGGGTAGTTTCCTAACCATCGTTCCTGGAGAGTTACACCAGTACTAGACTACCTTCCTCCGCGCTAAACTACCAAAGCATCTCCCGGGGATCGAACCCACGCCAGAGAGGTAACTGGATTAGAAGTCATCGACTCTAACCCCTCGACCACAGAGGCGGTTACTCTCCATGGATTAGGCAAAGTCTTAAAGGATCATTGATAATAAAAAACGATTAAAAAACACCTTCACTTCATCACATACATGGATTCATGTTAAGAAATTTTCTAATTATTTGTTCTTGTTGCAAAAACATTTCAACCATGTGTTTAAATGAATGTGTACAAACTGAAAATTATACACCGCCTTAAACGTTTGACTCTGGATTTAATTTCCGTTATGCTTAAATTAAGTAATACTGATAATCATATGAGCCAATTACAAATGAAACCAAGGTCATCTTTTTAAATCAAAAGGCATGAAAATATGTTGATAATATGTTAATATCATTGATATATTGAAAGTGAAATAGCGTGCTTGCAGGACTGTACATTTGATATGCTCAGCTCCTCTTTAGGTAACTTTTACAAATTACTTACTACGTAGTAGTTATTTATAATCTGCTTGTAAATATATGACAGTTATTAAATGCAAGTAAAATTAACTGAAATTTCAAAGCTATTTTATGCTGTAACTAACAAAAAATGTTGAAATGTTTTTACTGGAGAAAGTT